CCTTGTTTGCATCCTCTCTAAGACATCATCGTTGCTCACAAGCACGGTTCATGGTAACCTGAGCATCCTTCTGTAGAACCACATCGCCGTCGCCTCGAGTCTCTTCTTCATCTTTGAGGAGACCATCCAACATTCACTGCCGTAAAGGAGGACAGATATCACGTAACTGCTCAATCCTCCTGTCTTGCAATACTCTGTGTAGCTTTTGGAATGCGTCCTTAGCCCTCCCAATACGTCTACGGATCTCAGTGTCGAACTTACTGTCCTATGTCAAAACACTTTCCAGATATTTAAACTTTCGCATCTGCTTTATTTTAGTGTCCCCGACCTGCAAATTACATTTCGGGCTCATCTTTTTACTGATGACCATGCATTCTGTCTTCTTGTATTTTCTTTTTCTTTTTTATATATATATATATATATATATATATATATATATATATATATATATAAAAATATCTTCATTCAAGCATTTTTGGTTGAATAATCTAGATTTATTATGTCGATGTATTTTATTTTAACCCTCTCACATTCACGGATCAATTTCTTAATGCTGTTACAAAACTGATTAAGAAAGACTCCGTAGTTTTGGTTATTTCTTTTACTTTTCCGAGTACTTTCAATCTCATCCAAGATCATCTTCAGTAGTGTATTGCTAAGACAAAGCATAAACGCTGAAAGTGACAGAGCACAAACAAATTTTTATAAAAGGCTTATGAAAGCGAAAAGTAATAATAAATTTTACAATTTATATTGACATGTAGAGAAAACGAGATAAATGGTTCGAAACATAGAAAAATTCTTAACAAAGACCTTTCGTTGGTGCTAAAATCCACCTTATATATATGTGTGTGTGTGTGTGCGCGTATTTAGGCAGCTTATCTTCATTCAAGCATGTTTGATTATGTCTATTTATGTTATTTTATCCTCTCAAGTGCATGGAACAATTCCTTAGTGTTGGCACCAGTCTGATTAGGAAAGATCCCGTAATTATTCTTATAGGTTTTTATTTTATTTTCTCAAGTACTTTCAATCTCATGCAAGATCATCTTAAGGGGTGAATTGCTAAGACAAACAATTAATGTATCTGGCATACACACACACACACACACACACACACACACATATATATATATATATATATATATATATATATATATATATAATTATGATCAACAATAAATAAACTTAATTATGAGTGTAGTAACAAAAATTCTAAAAATTTTATAAAAACAAAGTTTTAACATATCTAAAGTGTAATTGTTTAAAAACTACAATTGTAACAGAATGCTTTAAAACATTTTTTATACAATTTTTAACAAAGATTTTTACAATATAAATTAAGTTACCTCCCTTAGATAGCAGTATTTTCTTTTAATTAACCGAGTACCTCCATACGTACGCACAGTATTCATAACTGTCAAATACATTAATTCTTTGTCTCTCTCTCTCTCTCTCTCTCTATATATATATATATATATATATATATATATATATATATATATATATATATATATATATATATATATTATGTCCATACGCATTCCGAAACCGCAAAACCACACACATTTTACAATTAGCGAAACAACTCTCTTTGCATTTCACTAATCATATAATACGTTAGCTTCTCCTCTCTCTTTCAATCTGTAATAGTAATCGCTGGTTACAAAAACAATTAAGTTAGACAGGCTGACTCCAGCAACAGATCGGAATGGAAGCTGAAAATAGATTCTCACATAAGTGCGGAATCACGTGACCAAGTATGAACGTGGAGCGGGAAATATTAGAAGAATAACAGTTAGAGCAACGGATCTCGAGAGAGTTGGAGCATCCGTGAAACTATCATGTGAATGGATTCACCGAACTGAAGAGAAGGAATGCCGTCCCCAACTCACACAAATTTCCACTATAAAATAAATTGGAAACCAAGTCTTGTGTGAATAATATTTCTTTTTACTTGTTACCAGCAAGCAAAGGAAATCCCACGATGAAGAACTCCAATTCAACTCAGCACACTATGCTGATTACATCAAATGCATAGGTGAATTGCTGAGCGTGGCGATCACCTAAGACAGTCATGTGTGACACACTCATTTGAACGCAAGATCTGAATAATAAATTCTACATTGCTGAATATGTGAAGAAGCGAGTAAACGACTAGCTTTTGAAGTTAATACTCATAACAGTGAAGAATACAACTTATACAGCGCTGAACCTTCCTATCCGAATAAAAAATTCTACATGGCTGAATATAATAATTAAACGATCAGATTTGGGGCTCAAAAATCATAAAGGTGTAGAAAAAAGAATAGATCAAAGATACCGCTGCTCGATCGAAACAAACTGAACTGAAAGTAAAAAGAACAAAGATATAAAAAAAGAGAAAGAGAGAAAAGGGAAAAGCCTATTTTATTCCAGGCAAAAGACTGAAGCTAAGTGATTGTTTCAACTTTTAATATCAGAATATAACGCATACAACTTTCCACACAGAAATGTATAGCACACATCTTTCCACGCATTCTCTTGCATTAATGTTTTCATGTATTGTCTAGTTATAATTAAACCTTGTTAATTTGTATATTGTCGTCTGTTGTTCATTACTGTTGGTTGTCGTTTCTCATTCGTGTATTTGACTCTGTAGAGGGATCCGTCCACTATGGAGTGGTAAACCTGGCATCTTCTAGGCAGCAAGAAGATTTTTTTTTTTAAATCTTTTCTTTTTAAATTTTATGCAGCGGTAATTGTCCGTAACAATATATATATGTTTAATCCTTTCACCCCAAGCAAGGTGATAATGCCACTAAGACGCAACGTGTTATAGGGAGTTATAGAGAATGAGAAGACTTTAGTGAAGATAAAGGACAATAAAAGAACAAGTGTTAAGAAGATTGAATATAACGATTGATATTGCACTTAAATTTTTGATGACAAGGAACTATAAGCAATAGAAGAAACTGTTAGCATAGAACTTACGGTTACATCTATCTATTTCAAATATAACAGTATGTGATCATGTTGCCAAGGAACAAATATTCATGAACGAATGGTAGACCTATAAATTTCAAAATTTTACCATAGGATATTTAATGCTAGAGGACTTGTAAAAAAACTGTAATTATTGGCTTATTATAACATTAATGTATGTCTCCAAGAAACCAAACCCAAAGAAGGACTTGATATTAATATCGGAGTTAGACAATACAATTTAATATCTTTGGAAACAGACAGAAAATATTATGTAAATGGTTTTGTCATCAATACCAAATGGAAAAATAACATCCGTAGACATTGGATGAACAACTATAATATACACACTGAAGAACCCTATTTAAAAAGCTGTGATTAAAATTCCATCATTCCCCTAAAAAAAATTGAAGAGCTTGTACGACCTGCAGTATTTTCATCAGTCAGCCCAAGACAAAGAGGTTTCAATAAAAAAAAAAACTGAAAAGAGATATTTATAAAGTTTTTGAAGATGAGAACTCACCCGTATTTGCAGTGTGCTTTCAAGTCAAAACAGTTTTGATGAAGACAAACTAATTTTAAATTTGTCATAAGGGTATTAATGATAAGCGTAATAAGAAATACATGTGAAATTATTAATATGAAATTTAATATATATATATATATATATATATATATATATATATATATATATATATATATATATGTGTGTGTATTTAGGCAGCAAATTCTCTTTTAGGCATATTTGATTGAATAAATTGGAACATTTATGTCTGTTACTTTTTAACAAAATCCGTTCATACTCACGAATAACCTTTAAATTTAAACAGATATAGCACATTTCTCTCATCCTTTAACCATCATTATTCGTGAGTATGAACGTATTTTTTTGAAAATTAGCAAACATAATGTCTCTAATTTATTCAATCAGACACACACACACACACACACACACACACACACACATATATATATGTATATATAAATAAAAAGAAAGAACAGTAAGATATATAATCCTGTGTTCTTATAGATATTTTTATTTTTACAAAATAGTGATCAATGTAAATTTACAGAGCATTAATATTATAAATTAAATGATTTAAATTTTTGAAACATGGTTAGAACTGTGTAGCGAAAAAAAACATATTTTAAATCAATTAATTTAATATATATATATATGTGTGTGTGTGTGTGTGTGTGTCTATGTGTGTGTGTGTGTGTGTGTGTATGTGTGTCTGCGTGTGTGTCTGTGTGTGTGAAATTATGTATATAAAATTAAACAATGTGTCCGACACGAAAGCGACTCTGATATTTGGGGAAATTAAAATTGGAACTAGTTAAAAATGGTGAGAAAAATTGACAAAAGTTTATTGGTAATGTGGAAAAGAGACAGAAAGACAGTCTAATGAATATAAATGAAGTAAGGGGAAAAAAAATAATCGAAAAGGGCAGATGAAAATTAACTATAGAGAGTGAATATAATGAAGAAAGAATAAACGAAAGGAGAAAAAAAGAAAAAGGAAGAATGAAAGAAAGAAAGAAAGAAGAAAAAAGAAAGGAGGAAAGGTAATGAAGAAAGAAGAAAAAGGAGGAAAGAAAGAAGAAAAGGGAAGAAAAAAAAGAAGAAAAAGGAAGAAAGAAGAACCAAAAAGTGAAATAAAGAAGAAAGGGGAAGTAAGAAAAAGAAAAGGAAAGAACAGAAAAGAGAAAATAAAAAAAAGAAGAAACAAAGAATAAAAAGAGGAGAAACAAAGAAAGAGAAGAAGGAAAAGAAAAGAAAAGAGAGAAAGAAAGAATAAGAAAGAAAAGAACTTAGGTTTATATGTTTACAAGCGAAAAAAAAAAGCCATTTCGTTGGAGATTGCCTGTTTATGGATGCATTTTGTGTCGTCTGCCTATTTGATTCTGTACGAAATAGTCCATTGGATGGCATCGAAGCAGAAAAGAAAAACACAACGTTCAGACGCCGTAAAGACTAGTAATAAACAAATCAAGCCATGTTATTAGAGAGAGAAAAAAAGATAAAACTCGAAAAAATGCTTTCCCATAAGACAGTGCGGCAGTATTTTGTATTATGCTGATTGAAAGTAGTACAACCAGTAATAAATGTTTTTATTTCCTGGTCTTTTAAATATTTACATATTTGGGTGTTAGGGATCAATTTATGTTTTCTATTGCAGGCTTTTGCTTTAATATGTAGTTCGTTATAAAAAAAAATCTCTTACTTGTTGGATATATTGAACGAAATGAAGCGTGGTTATCGAAGATGAGAGTTCTTTTATGTGCTGTGTCCCTTCAGGACGTGAGCGATCATTGCTCTCCACAGCTATTTATCCTTTGTAACCATGAAGCAATGTTTATCTCCTTATCGTTCTTCCAAGTTCCCTTTATGTTGTCCATTTACACAAGATCATACGATGATATATTTGATGTTTTCCACTCGCCTTCAGTATTTCCTGAGAGGGTCAAATTCTCCAAGCTCTCTTTCCTCACACTATCTACCAGAAATTTCTGCTGTCTCTTCCTAGTTTTAATTTTTTCCTTGTGTGTTCATTTTTATTCCCATTCTCAGCATTTCTTTCCCTTCTGTCTAACCACATCTTTTTTCTTTCTTTCTAGTCCTGGGTATGACTTCTTTCCTTAAAAAGTTCTTTTCATTTTTGCGGAATCAAGGCCTGTGATCGGAGATTGAGGCTTTTTCTTATTTTTTACTATAAAAATACTTCTTTCCTTTCCTTTTTCTTTCTTTCTTTCTTTCTTTCTTTGTTTCTTTCTTCCTTCCCTTCCTTCCTTCCTTTCTTTCTTTCTTTCTTGTTGTTTCCTTTCTTGTAAATTAGGAAAGGAAATGTCTTTGAGAACTTTACTCATATTGGACGAATGGGAATATAGAAACTGATGCAAACAATGCTACAATTGAAATTCGTCGTCTGTTTTTTTTCCTTTCCGTTCTTTCCTTATTGGAACTAATTTAACGAATATTAAAACAAACACTTTTTCTCACGATTCTTTTACTAATATTTCTTTTCCTTCCTTTCTTTCCTTTCTTTTTCTTTTTTTCTTTCTCTTTTCTTTTTTCTTCTTTCCTTTTCTTTCTTTCTTTTCTTCTTTTCCTTTTTTCTTTTTCCTTTTTTCTTCTTTCTTTCTTTTCTTTCCTTCCTTCCTTTCTTTTTTTCTTTCTTTCTTTTCTTTCTTGCTTGTTTCCTTTAGTTCATTCTCTTATTCTTATTTTTCTTCTCTCATCTGCCTCCATTTTCATTCTTCTTTTTTCCTTTCTTTCTTTCTTTCTTTCTTTCTTTCTTTCTTTCTTTCTTTCTTTCTTTCCTTCCTTCCTTCCTTTCCTTTTTTTCTTTCGTTCATTCTTTCTTTCTTGTTTCCTTTATTTTCATTCTTCTTTTTTTTTTTATTTTTCTTCTCTCATCGGCCTCCATTTTTCATCTTCTTTTCTTTCTTTTCCTTTCTTTCTTTCTTTTTCATTCTTTCTTTTTTTTTTTTCTTTCTTTTTTTCTTTTCTTTTCTTTTCTTTCTTTCTTTCTTTCTTTTCTTTCTTTTTCTTCTTTCCTTCTTCTTTTTTTTTCTTTCTTGCTTTTTCCTTTCTTTTTTTTTCTTCCTTTTCATTCTTTTTCCTTTCTTTTCTTTCTTTTCTTTTTTCTTTCTTTTTCCTTTCTTTCTTGCTTTCTTTTCGTTCATTCTTTATTCTTATTTTCTTCTCATCATCGGCCTCCCTTTTCATTCTTCTTTTTTCTTTCTTTTCTTTTCCTTTCTTTTTCTTTTCTTTTCCTTCCTTTCTTTCTTTCTTTTTCTTTTTTCTTTCTTTCTTTCGTTCATTCCTTTCCTTCTTCATTTTTTTCTCTTCCCATTTTTCTTCTTCTTTTTTTTTCTTTCTTTTTTTCTTTCTTTTTCTTTTCCTTTCTTTTTCTTTCCTTCCTTCCTTCCTTTCTTCCTTTCTTTTCTTTCTTTCTTTCTTGCTTGTTTCCTTTCGTTCATTCTCTTATTCTTATTTTTTCTTCTCTCATCGGCCTCCATTTTCATTCTTCTTTTCCTTTTTCTTTTCTTTCTTTCTTTCTTTCTTTCTTTCTTTTCCTTTCTTTCTTTCTTTCTTTCTTTCTTTCTTTCTTTTTTTCTTTCTTTCTTTCTTGCTTGTTTCCTTTCGTTCATTCTCTTATTCTTATTTTTCTTCTCTCATCGGCCTCCATTTTCATTCTTCTTTTCCTTTCTTTCTTTCTTTCTTTCTTTCTTTCTTTCTTTCTTTCTTTCTTTCTTTCTTTCCTTCCTTCCTTCCTTCCTTTCTTTCTTTCTTTCTTTCTTTCTTGCTTGTTTCCTTTCGTTCATTCTCTTATTCTTATTTTTCTTCTCTCATCGGCCTCCATTTTCATTCTTCTTTTCCTTTCTTTTCCTTTCTTTCTTTCTTTCTTTCTTTCTTTCTTTCTTTCTTTCTTTCTTTCCTTCCTTCCTTCCTTCCTTCCTTTCTTTCTTTCTTTCTTTCTTGCTTGTTTCCTTTCGTTCATTCTCTTATTCTTATTTTTCTTCTCTCATCGGCCTCCATTTTTCATTCTTCTTTTCCTTTTCTTTTCCTTTCTTTCTTTCTTTCTTTCTTTCTTTCTTTCTTTCTTTTCTTTCTTTCTTTCTTGCTTTCCTTCCTTTCTTTTCTTTCTTTCTTGCTTGTTTCCTTTCGTTCATTCTCTTATTCTTTTTTTCTTCTCATCGGCCTCCATTTTCATTCTTTCTTTTCCTTTCTTTTTCCTTTCTTTTCTTTCTTTTTCTTTCTTTTTTCTTTCTTTCTTTCTTTCTTTTATTCCTTCTTTCCTTCTTTTTTTCTTTTTCTTTTCTTTCTTTCTTTCTTTCTTTCTTTCTTTCTTGCTTGTTTCCTTTCGTTCATTCTCTTATTCTTTTTTTCTTCTTCTCATTTCCTTTCCTCCATTTTCATTCTTTCTTTTCCTTTCTTTTTTCCTTTCTTTCTTTTTGCTTTTCTCTTTTCTTTCTTTCTTTCTTTTCCTTTCCTTCCTTCCTTCCTTTCCTTTCTTTCTTTTCTTTCTTTCTTGCTTGTTTCCTTTCGTTCATTCTCTTATTCTTATTTTCTTCTCTTTTTTCTTTCATTCTTTCTTTTCCTTTCTTTCATTTTTTCATTCTTTATTCTTTTCTTTCCTTTTTTTTTTCTTTCTTTCTTTCTTTCTTTCTTTCTTTTTCCTTTCTTTTCTCCTTTCTTTTCTTTCTTTTCTTTCTTTTTCTTTCCTTTCCTTTCCTTTTCCTTCCTTCCTTCCTTTTTTTTCTTTCTTTTTTCTTTCTTTTCATTCTCTTGTTTTTTTTCTTTCATTCTCTTCTTTATTCTTTCTTTTTTCTTTCTCTTCTTTCTTTCTTTTTCCATTTTCATCCTTTCCTTCTTTTTTTCCTTTCTTTTCCTTTTCTTTCTTTCTTTCTTTTTCGGCTTTCTTTCTTTTCTTTCTTTTCTTTCTTTTCTTTCCTTCCTTCCTTCTTCTTTCTTTCTTTTCCTTTCTTTCTTTCTTTTCTTTCTTTCTTTCCTTTCGTTCATTCTCTTATTCTTTTCGTTCATTTTTTATTCTTCTCTCATCGGCCTCCATTTTCATTCTTCTTTTCCTTTCTTTTCCTTTTCTTTCTTTCTTTCTTTCTTTCTTTCCTTTTCCTTTTCTTTTTCTTTCTTTCTTTCTTTCTTGTTTCCTTTCGTTTTTTTCATTCTCTTATTTCTTTCTTTTTCTTTCTTTCTTTTCATCGGCCTTTCTCCATTTTCATTCCATTTTTCTTCTTCTTTTCCTTTCTTTTCTTTCTTTCTTTTTTTCTTTCTTTCTTTCTTTCTTTTCCTTTTTTCTTTCTTTTTTCTTTCTTTTCTTTCTTTCTTTCTTTCTTTTCTTTCTTTCTTTCCTTTCTTTTCTTTCTTTCTTTCTTTCTTTCTTTCTTTCTTCTTTCTTGTTTCCTTTCGTTCATTCTCTTATTCTTATTTTTCTTCTCTCATCGGCCTCCATTTTTTCTTCTTTCTTTTTTTTTTTCTTTCTTTCTTTCTTTCTTTCTTTCTTTCTTTTCTTTCTTTCTTTCTTTTTCTTGCTTGTTTTCCTTTCGTTCATTCTCTTATTCTTATTTTTCTTCCTTCCTTCCTTCCTTCCTTTCTTTCTTTCTTTCTTTCTTTCTTTCTTTCTTTCTTTCTTTCTTTCCTTCCTTCCTTCCTTCCTTTCTTTCTTTCTTTCTTTCTTGCTTGTTTCCTTTCGTTCATTCTCTTATTCTTATTTTTCTTCTCTCATCGGCCTCCATTTTCATTCTTCTTTTCCTTTCTTTTCCTTTCTTTCTTTCTTTCTTTCTTTCTTTCTTTCTTTCTTTCTTTCCTTCCTTCCTTCCTTCCTTCCTTTCTTTCTTTCTTTCTTGCTTGTTTCCTTTCGTTCATTCTCTTATTCTTATTTTTCTTCTCTCATCGGCCTCCATTTTCATTTTTCTTCTTTTTTCCTTTTCCTTTCTTTCCTTTTCTTTTATTCTTTTTTCTTTCTTTCCATTTTCATTCTTCTTTCCTTTCTTTCTTTTCTTTTTTCTTTCCTTCCTTCCTTTCCTTTTCTTTTCTTTCTTTCTTTCTTTTTTGCTTGTTTCCTTTCGTTCATTCTCTTTATTCTTATTTTCTTTCTCTCATCGGCCTCCATTTTCATTCTTCTTTTCCTTTTTCTTTTTTCTTTTTTTCTTTCTTTTTTCTTTCTTTCTTTTCTTTCTTTTCTTTCTTTCTTTCTTTCTTTTTTTCTTTCCTTCCTTCCTTTCCTTTTTTTCTTTCTTCTTTTCTTTTCTTTCTTTCTTTCTTGCTTGCTTTCCTTTCGTTCATTCTCTTTATTCTTATTTTTCTTCTCTCATCGGCCTCCATTTTCATTCTTCTTTTCCTTTCTTTTCCTTTCTTTCTTTCTTTCTTTCTTTCTTTCTTTCTTTTTTTCTTTTTCTTTTCCTTTCTTTCTTTTCTTCCTTCCTTTCCTTTCTTTCTTTCTTTCTTTCTTTCTTTCTCATATTCTTATTTCTCTTCTCTCATCGCTTGTTTCCTTTCGTTCATTCTCTTATTCTTATTTTTCTTCTCTCATCGGCCTCCATTTTCATTCTTCTTTTCCTTTCTTTTCCTTTCTTTCTTTCTTTCTTTCTTTCTTTCTTTCTTTCTTTCTTTCTTTCCTTCCTTCCTTCCTTTCTTCCTTCCTTTCTTTCTTTCTTTCTTTCTTTCTTGCTTGTTTCCTTTCGTTCATTCTCTTATTCTTATTTTTCTTCTCTCATCGGCCTCCATTTTCATTCTTCTTTTCCTTCTGCTCATTCTTTCTTCCTATTATTATCAATCTTCGTTTCTCATTCCTTCTCTTTCTCATTACTGTATACCAGCAATATTTTATATATAAAAACTTACCATCAATACATTTTACAGTAGAATTAATAACAATACATTTTATAGTAAAATGACTAACAATACATTTTTATAATAAAATGACCAACAATATATTTTAATAGTAAAATGACAATAGATTTTATAGTAAAATGGAAGACGTGTTATACATTTAGCAAAAAAATAATTTTATAAAAATTTCCAACAATACATTTTTGTAGTGATATTACCAGCAATACACTTTATATAAAAAAATGATAACAATGCATTTTTATAGGAAAATTGGCAATAATACATTTTTAAAGCATCAATACAAAACTAAAAAGTTATAAAAAATACATTTTTATAATAAAATTACCAGCAATATATTTTTTATAAAAGAATTACCAACTATCTATTTTTGTAATGAAATTACCAGGAATACATTTTATTTTTTAAAATTACAAATAATACATTTTATCATCTACAAACGATATATCTAAAAAAATACGTTTCTCCTGAAGGTATGCAATTATGTACAAAATGTCTGTAGGTGAAGGAATAAAATTGCGCTCAAAATATTTAGATTTCGGCATTAAATAACCCATAGAGGTTGATATCTCACTAATTGATATGTCTCCTTATCTCTGAGGAAATTACCCAGAATTCACTTCCATATGGAAAGAATGAAAATTGCATAGCTGTTCAGCTCTTTTTACTTTGTTTCAAACGAAATTATTCTGTTTTTAATACTTTCGCTATTCGAGTGTACCTTCAAATTGTTGAGAAGATACGTTACCATTCCAAGTATTATTCGGAAATTTGAACTCATTTTTTTAATGTTGCATTGTTACAACCTGAAGAAGGTTATAGAAAGGATCGGCTGAAATGCTCGTTATAATGTATTAATACAAAGAACGAGTTCAAAAGTATAAACGGTTTTTGGAATTGATTTAACTTATTCAAAAGTCAGTAAAATAAACACATTTTAAAAGTATTTCTAAATTATTTTGTAGCCTTGACACTCGGCAAGATTCAGTCGGTCTTATGCCCAAGAGAACAGGGAGAACAAAATAATCTTCTTGTCAATGCAATTAATTCATTAGAGAATATTAGTCACGAATAATAATAATAATAATAATAATAAGGAAACTACAAGAAATTGGTATGAACATCACCCAGACCCGGTTATAGAGATAGGATCTGTAACAATTTTATGGGAGTTTACAATACACACAGAGCAATCAAAGCTAATCGCCCAGACATCGTGATCAGAGAGCACAAAAACAAAATATGTTTTGTTTTTGACATGGCAGTCCCTGCAGACTGTAATGTAGCTTTGAATATCTTCAAAATACAAGGACCTTGAAAATGAAATCTCAAAAATGTGGCACATAAGGACATTGACATTTCCAGTTAGTAGTTGATTGGAAAATGTTCTGATACACTTATTTAAGAATTAAAGTTTTACAAATAAATTCTGCTCACAAGTACAGCCTACACCATAGAAAAGGCTTCATCTATGTAAAATGTGTGTGATCTTAATTTTTGTTTTTTCAAAAAATGATCAGTGGAAAATGTTATGATACCATTTCTGACTGTTGAAACTTGACTAATGCATGGAATAATAATGCAACACAAAATGTACTTAGAACAAAATGTATTGAAACAAGAAAGTGTACACAATATTTACATATAGTCTTTTGTATATTCCTGGTAAGACCGTTCCTGGAGAATGTGTTGACTGAGTCGCAGTCGGGCAGAGTCTCTGGTTGAATCTCTTGATTCCTTCCTCTCTTCCCGGTACCAATCATATTTATATGGTCGGTACTGCACTATGCAAATTAGGTGGATCCTACCACAATACTGACCTTGGCTGGGATACAGAAAGAAATGAGTATACACCAGAAATCAAAGGAATAATAATAATAATAATAATAATAATAATAATAATAAGTGGCTAAACTCTGGTGGCACAAAAAGAGTATAGACGGCGCCATGTCAGAGTAAACCTCAGAAGACATTGGGAATTATGTGTAAATAATTTCAGATAGAGTATCTCTGTAAAATGGAAATATGAATAAGAACGAATGGAAAACTCATCTTAGGCAACGCGTTTCATCCTCTAAGGGAAATGTGAGGAGTTTATTTTCTGACAACGATTTATATGCATGAACAAAAATATCATTGTTTTTTCAAAATCTTCGGTATAGGGGTGTTCTTGAATAGGCATCGGGTTGGCGGAAAATTCAGGCAAGTTCATGGACCTGAGGTGAAACAATTCAATGCCTAATACACGAAAGTGACTAGGAGGTTTAAATATATATATATATATATATATATATATATATATATATATATATGTGTGTGTGTGTGTGTGTGTGTGTGTGTGTGTGTGTGAAAAGTGTGTTGTGTGTGTGTGAAAAGCGTGTGTGTGTGTGTGAAAGTGTGTGTGTGTGTGTGTGTGAAAAGTGTGTGTGTGTGTGTGTGTGTGTGTGAAAAGTGTGTGTGTGTATGTGAAAAGTGTGTGTGTGTGTAAATTAGTATTTAAACACTTTTGCATTGGGATTGATTTACGTGTTATATGTTTTGAATAACATGAGGTTGTTGCAGACCCGGTAGGGTGCAGTGCTGGTTTATTACAAAGTGGCCTTGTGCCAGACACCACACTAAACTACCGAGTCTACAAGCAAAGTAAAAAATAAATATATATGCGTGAATGAACAGTGAGAGGAAAGGGGTCAATCAACAAGTGCATAAAATAAAATATATTAAGATAGCCGACACAGAATGACAGGAAAAGACTGGATTCAAACAAGAGTAATTTTTATTAAATGCAGGAAAAACAAGTAACTTATCCCGTGGTAGGGATCAATGAAAATGTTCCGCGCCAAAAATAGAAACAAGATGGCTATGGCGGGAAAGGTTCTTGAAGGAGAAGAAGGTTCCATATAAGCCAATGTACATGATAATATACATACAAGGAAAAATACTCACTGCGAGTTTGTTTTTTTGTTAATGTGGTGAAATGTTATGTATATATTTTTTCTTTCTTTCCTTTTTTGTACTGGTTCAAAACAGATTTATGACTAGGCCAAAAGGGACGAAAAAGTCAATACTTGGAGTTGCATCGTCTCGTAGGAGAATTTTTGAATGACGAGCCAAAAGGACGCAGAATTAATTATTTGATGTTTTTATTGGTTACCTGTTGAATACGAAGTTTCTGCCGACGACTGTGTCGTGTCTCTAACGTCTTCTGGTCGAAAACGAGAAGGTCTGATCTGCGATTAGCAAGTTGTTCGTCAGTAGGATATCCCTGTCTGTATTTATTGGTTCGCTGACGAGGGATAAAAAAAGCCATTATTAGTTGAATACGAAGTTTTGCTCACGACCGTGTCGTGTGTCTCTAACGTCTTCTGGTAGAAAACGGAGAAGGTCTGACCTGCGGCAGCTTCAAGACGAGGAGAAGTCTTGGTAGAGTGTGAAGTCGCCATTGTTGAAATAAGATATTCCGGCCCGCATATGGATTAAGGGCACGGAATAAATGAGTTGCCCATCTAGTCGGGTCGAAATCGAGAGGCAACTGCTTGCAAACGCTAGCAGTTTTTGAGACGCCGAAAACGCGGAAAATTCAAAATCTGTTATGAGTCCAAATCAGTAGGAGCTAGCGAGGTTACTGCTATGTTTAGCTGTGAGTGGAAGGTAGGGTGAAAAACCGCGCGCACGCACGAGTGTGAAAGGAAGGGAGGAAACTCACGCGCGCGTAAAATATAAATGGAATTAATGTGTTAATTCCATAAGGTGATGGATTTAACCAGTTTCTTTTAACTTCTTTTGTATTTTTGTGGTCATGTATCTTGGCTTGGGAAAAGAGTAATTCTTTCAGGAAAGGAGATATCGCGAAGAATCCAGTTTTCGATTCACCCTGCGTTTACGAGGACTGTAAAGAAATCACAAGTCCAAACGCTACAAAATAAACTGCTTACACTTGCCTTGATAAAGTCCGTCTGAGGACAAAACGCAGCGGCTAAAAAAGTTTTCCTTTTGTCTCTTCATATTCTCTCTTACAGGTATACTATATCTCTAATCTTTACACACACTCACACACACACACATATATATATATGCATAAATACACGAATTAAACAAGTACCTGCAGTATTATATACACATACATGGTGCGATGCGAAAGTTGCCGCCGTTTTATATTTTTAATTTCGCGCATGCGTGTTGTTTGTTTTTGATTTTGTCGACAGCTCAGTATAGTAGGGTTAGTTGGGCATCGTCTGTGAGAAAAAGAGCACCATGACAAAATTCACTTCGTCAGAAATTTGGAAACGGCATGCTGTACTGCTTGGCATTCGCGCCGGAAGATCCAATACGAATATTTCAGTGTGCTTGGGCGTCAATCTGAAGATAGTGCAGAGGTTTCGAAAAGTGTAGGATGAATCTAATGGTGATTACGAAGGTGTTTGGAGTGATCACTAGTGATGGCGATGTTATGCCTCCATTCCTCTTCCCTCAGGGTCTCAAACTCAACAATGATGCCTACATCAAGTACCTTGAGTAAGTAGTGCTGCCCTGAGTCAAGAGAGTGGCTGCTGAAAGTCCCCATGTCAGGCAACAGGACTCTGCACCATGCCACACAATCAGAAGAACTCATAATAAACTACATCCGCGTCCTGGGTAAGACGATAAACTGTCCGACGGCAAGGCCACTGATCAGGAGCATAGGACCACCTCTTAATTGCTGGTGTTCCCAGGTCTACCCTGACCAGGAGTAACCTATCAGGGTCCCAGCTATGGATCAAATAGTTAACCCCCAAACTGGGGTCAAAACACTATGAAAGTTTAAAAATAAGTTTTAATAACAGAAATACATTTTTGTAAAAAAATTACTAGTAATACATTTTTGAAAAAAATTAGTACCAGTAATACATTTTTGGAAAAATATTGCTAGCAATAAAAAATTGTCGGCATTAAATAACCCCTTGAGGTTGATATGCCACAAATAAAACCAAACCAAAACGATACATATTCTATTAATACGAATCTACCGTAAAAATCTTGTCGGCATTAAATAACCCATTGAGGTGTTGATATGCCATAAAACAAACCAAACCAACCAAAACATTTAGCGATCGCCGGCCGAGTGAAGACGAGATGAGAGCATCGCCACCAGGAGGCTATGTAATGCATCCATCAAAAGAAGAAAAGAACGTATAAAAGAAACCGCTCAAGAAGTAACAAGTTTATGGCAAAAGAATTTAAATTAACCAAATAGATCAACTCAAGTCACGCAGGCAAAATTGGATCACGTGTTGAACGCATACGATGAATATGCGAAACGAAAAATATATCATCTATTAAATGAAATTTTTGATATCACAAAAGAAAATTTTGAATGGCTGCGTACACGGACAGACGGTTATATCATCTTCAGGTCGAAAGCAAAGGACGTCTTGCATATAAAACTTGAACGAATGCGAGTTCCAAAACTAATCCATCTAAAAGAAGAAAAGTGACATTGGAACAAACTTCAACAACAGTAACAAAAGCAACAACTTCCGAAAAAGAAAATGAATTAGAGATCAAGTCAGAGAGTGAAAGTGAAAGTTCTGAAGAACAATCCGTAAGAAAGAGGAAGAAGTATAGCTAAACCAAATACTACAACCAAATTAGTAAACATCTTCAACCTTATCAACCAGCAAAAAAGCAACTGATTGACGTTGAGACAATCTTCTCAATCTGATATTTACAGATCCACTATTAAAGAAGCTGCTAAACTTATAGAAGAAATGAAGACAAACACTACACTTAAAAAACTGGTCATTGCATTTTTATGGTAAACGAATTGATGACCAAGAATATCAAGTTTTTGTTTTGAAGAATGAAAGAAAAGAAGTTAGAACCATTAAATCTGCCAACTGGAAAAATGGATTCTGTTGTCAATGGAATAACAACTGTTCTGGATGAATACAATTTATGGAAGAGAGTAAAGATGATTGTTACGGACACTGGAAGCAAAAATGGGATTGTCATTCAGTTACAAAGACTATTTGCCCAAAAGAAACAAATTTATTGACTATCAACATCATGTTCTTGACCGAATGCTTTGCATAATTGTTATACAAGAATAAAGTATCACTGCCGACACTTGAGTTTGAACATAGATCGCCAGTGAGCAAACACAGGCGATCCCATTAGTGAATTAAGTAGACCACGTGACCATAGAGGAAACGCATATAGTTATTTTCTAAGCGTAGCTTAGATGTGACACAAGGCCGAAAGTATGGAGCACCTAGTGAGGAAACGCAGATATAGGAAGTCGCGTGACGTCTAAATAATCGCTATTTACAAGTCTATCCTCTATTACTATTCGGACCGCTATTCTCTACTCTATTCACGATACTATTTCTCTATTCGGATCACTACACGGGTTACTATTCGAGCGAATATTATCGAGCAAGTACTATTAGTGCGAATGTTAGTCAAAGGCGGCTAACACCAGTATTGTTCAACGGTGTACTATAGTTGTATCTGCAGTTACAAAACCTCTACTACAACGAGCATTACAAAAGTGATAATGAGTATTCGTTGGTATTACAAAAGTGACAACGAGTGTTCGTTGACATCACAAAAATAATGGATGATGAAGTTGGAAGAAACAGCACATCACCGAATATCGAATATCCGTTGATGAGTGAACTACGAACAGCTCAAGAAGAATTTCAGGAATGAAAAAGAAGAGATTACTGAAATAGCAGGATAGCGTGATGATATGAAATTTCTATTTCATTTAACTCGAGTTTTCTGCTTTTTCGAAGAAACTGGAAGATTTCCTAAAGGGAAAATAACACCTAACTTAAGAAATGCAAGATGGAATTCTAGAACAATACTGGATCTTTTGGTATTTATTCTAGCAGAGAAAAGAGACTTGCTACTCGAAATTTGTAGATTCATCTCTTACAGATGGACGGATCATTGGTTTACTGATCAAATCTACATTGCAGATTAATATCAGAAGCTGTGTAGCAGCTTGTAGGCTCACAAAAAGCATTAAAATCTCTCTTTCTCTCTCTCTCTCTCTCTCTCTCTCTATATATATATATATATATATATATATATATATATATATATAATAAATGGTGGTACTCGTTTGGAAAAATCTTGGATAGCTCAACTTGTAGTAGAATAAATAGGTACCCGGGTTAAAAGGGGAATAAAAGAAAGAACAAAGAGCATAAAACAAGGCGAAAACAATCCTCAAGTGTTTAAGCTGCAAGTCCAAAGAAAAAAAAAACAAAAACGAGTTAAAAGACAACTACGTAAAGTGCTCAATGCACTAAGTAGAGCAAAAACCTAAAATAATCCTAAGGAGCCAGGCAAACCTACCTAGATTTTACCTAAACGGATCTTCAGAGAAGCCGGGTTCCTTGAAGATCCGTTTAGGTGAAATCTAGGTAGGTTTGCTTGGCTCCTTAGAATTATTATCTATCTATCTATCTATCTATCTATCTATCTATCTATCTATCTATGTGTGTGTGTATATATATATATATATATATTCCCAGACTTCATGAGTTCAAGCGCCCTACGAGGCTGGCATCCCGCTCTCACCCCTTCACTGTCGAAACTCCTAAATGTAGCCGTCTCTTCTACTCCAATAGCTTCACGTCTCGCACCTCTCGCCTGTGGAACTCCCTTCTCTATTCCAGTTTCCCTGAGAGCTATAATCTCCAGCTATTCAAGTGTAATGTCAATCGACATCTCCAGTTGCCTTGATCTATCCACTACCCTTCTCCTCATCCTTACCTCTATCACTCCTATCTGATCTTGCTCCAAATCTTCTGTAACCCCTTGCGTCCTAGTGGCTTCCCGCCTTTTTGGGGTGAAACGCTTAAAAAAATAATATATATATATATATATATATATATATATATATATATATATATATATAGGTATAACTCCATGCAAGACAGTAAAGCTATTAAAACACAAGTGGTTTACAGGGTGTATACAAATTAAGCACAGAAACATTAAAATGGGAGGAAAAAAAAAAAGTAATCTAGAGGACAGTAAATAACGACTGACATTGCATTTAAATTGTTGCAGATTAAAGTTGGCTGAAAGGGAGTTCCACAAGCGAGAAATGCGAGAAAAGTAACTGATTGGATAGAACTTGCGGTTACATCTAGCCAAGTCAACTGTAAATTGATGAAATCTCGATATCAAGAAAGTCTACGTACAGTAGTGAAAAGCTCATTCGATCAATTACCACGAAGTATTCATAGAAAAGACATAGAAAGGCAATTTTACGGTGGTGGGCAAGTGACTGAAGTTGAGTCACCAGATCAGAACCAATAATATTGCTGATTCTTCTTTGGGTTTTATCAACGAGTTTAAGGTAAATATCAGCGACACCAGGCCATATGTAACAGCAATATTCTAAGCATGGACGAATGGTAAGATCAATTTTGGAAGAAAAATTGTCTCGCACGGCACAGTGAATCGACTTTCTTAGTAGCTAACCTAGCAATGGATTCAATATAGTCTTTCTACGACATGTCTGCTGAGAACATTAGCCCAAGAAGGCGCAACAAGTTACTTTCCTAGAGGGTTAACACCAGCCATGCTGATGGAAGGCAGAGAGGGGTCCCTCAGATGATCGAGAGAAGTGTAGTTTTGGAGGTGTTAAAATTAACAAGCCATCTTTTGTCCCAGTTAACAACTGACTTGAGGTCATTTTAGACATCGGAGAGCATTTTGACCTTGTCGGACTGATCAGCCTTACTACCAAGGAAGGAGTAAATGGTTGTGTCATCAGCGTAGATGCCTTTCAAAACCTATACAAAGTATTAAGAAACATGAAAATTTTGTTAGAAATAAAGAAAAGAATACTGAATTGTTATGTAATATCGGTCCTCCTATATGACGGTGAATGCTAGACAATCTCCCCACAGATGAAGAAGAAACCTGAGGCAACAAATGTGGTACTACAGAAGGATGCTGAGGATACCATGGACTTAATATGTAAGTAACGTCAAAGTTTTAGAGAAAATGAAAGCAAAAAGGACAGTGATATGTAGAATAAGAAAGAGATTGTTGAAATTTCTAAGTCACATAATGAGGTAAGATGACTTGCAGTAGTTGAGACTCATAGAACAGAACAGACGAAAGATTTGTTGGTTGATTGATTTCATTTAGCGGCATATCAACACCTCTATGGGTTATTTAAGGCCGAAATATAAATATTTTGTACATAATTTTTTATATTTTCAGGTAAACAGTATATATATATATATATATATATATATATATATATATATATATATGAAAAGTGTGTGTATATAAATATAAACAAATGTATATATAATATATATATTGGTTGGATAGATGGGAGTTTGTGACCCTGGGTTTCACGCTTTTAAAGCGATCGTCAGACAAAATGAAACCCAGGGTCACAAACTCACATCTATCCAACAAATATATATATATATATATATATATATATATATATATATATATATATATGTTTTTGTACATTATAAAATGCATTGCTGGTATTTTCATTACAAAAATGTATTGTTGGTAATTTTTATAATAATGTATTGCTGGTAATTTTACTATAAAATGTATTTTTTTTTATACATTTTTAGTGTTGCATTGACTGTCATTTTGCTATAAAAATGTATTGTTGATTTCTGTTTTGAGATTGACTATTTGCCCGTAGCTAGGACCCTAACAGGTGCTACCACCCCGGGTCAGGGTGAACCTGGGAACAACATTAGTTAAGAGGTGGTTCGACGGTCCTGAAAATCTCCAATCTCCCGATTGCTGCCGGATGTAGTTTATCGTCATACCCAGAACAATAGGCAGAGGAAAACAGCGCATAAGCTACCTAACGCACTTCTGCAAATGCTTGGCAGAACAGGAATTAAGAGAGATACCAAAAAAAAAAAGAAGAAAAGAAAATGTACTAAGAGCTACAAAGGAGAGGGAGTTGTGGAGAGTCCTGAATGGATGGACAAGGAGCATAGAAGAAGAAGAAGAAGAGAAATAATAATAATAATAATAATGAATTTCGAAGTGTATATAACGGTAACTTCAGAATAACAGTAATTAGATCACCAACTGAGCTAGGTACGATGATTATGACTGACAGTTAAGGCTCTCCTTTGACTTTGTTGCAGCCGGCTAAGTTAAAGATAAAATTGAATATTTGTAATAGTAACAATAACGTAACAACGGCAACACATTATTACTTGTAGGTTGGGTTTGAATGAAGAACAGTGAAGAGTTTATAACTGAATAATGTAAATTCTCGATAAAGTTGGTAGCAGTCATATTGATGTTGAGTGTTTGGGATTTGAATATCTGCCAACTTTTCTCAAGCGAATCTATCTTACATATATACAGGTCTATTATTCGTCCGTGCTTAGAATAATACTGCCACACACGGTCTGGTGCTCCTGCTATAGATTTAGAGAACCTTGATAAAATATAAAATGGAATCTACAATGAAATTGCTCCTGACGGGCATCAAGCTTCAGTCACTTTTTCACCACCATAATGTAGCTTTTATGCACCTTTTCTATAAATATTTTCATAGTAATTATTCGGATGAATTTTCCTCTATGGTACCTAGACTCTGTGAATTTGCAGTACTAGATTGGCGGCAAATCTCATCATTTTTACCGTTTACAAGATGCTACCGTAAATTCTATGCTAAATTTATACATTATGAAATGGACAAAGTCCGACAATTATTTAAGACATTTTTTTATGTTTATACGTTCTTTTTATAGATACAAATATTTAAGTAAATACTCTGTTTATAATAAACAGTATTAACAACATTTACCGGCCTGGATGTCCGAGAAATTTTCATAGAAAATATGCGTCCTCCGACAGGAATACAGTATAGATTATAGGATGCAGGTTCAATTCCATAAAAAGGAATACATTATACATAAAGATACAGGTTCGATTCCATAATAAGGAATACATTATACATTAGGATACAGGTTCGATTCCTGTCGGAGGACGCATATATTCTATGAAAATTTCTCGGACATTCAGGCCAGTAAATGTTGTTAATACTGTTTACTATAAACAGAGCATTTACTTAAATATTTGTATCTATAAAAAGAACGTATAAACATAAAAAAATGTCTTAAATATGCTAACTTTTCTCGACTCGTTCGGGGAATATTCGTCTGGCTTCTTGCTTTCCAGTCAAGTTTGATCTTCAAAATTTTAAATGCAGTATCAGTCGTTATCGTCTGTTATTTCTGTTCTTTTATTATTCTCACCCCTTAATAATGTTTTTCTTATATTCTTTCCTACTTAGTAACCCCCACCCCGTGTTAGTGTCTTTGTTGCATCGCTTGGAATGAAATGATTAAAAAAAGTACTTATTAGCTAGTATTGGTGTGTATTTTTCTGTGAATGGGAGTAGTAAGACTGTCCATGGTGTGAAGAAATCTGTTCAACTACCGAAGCATCGTCGCTACTGTTTAAGCAGCGGAATTTTTGCACTATCGTAAAATTCGCTATTAATTAAGTTTATAAATATTATGCATCTTCTCTCATTAATGTCCATTGTCCCAAAAATGAGACAATGGTTAATGAATTAATATAGAAATACATTACAAATGATTTTATTATAAAAGTCCATTAGAAATCCATTTAATCCATTAATGGCCGCCGTAAAATCCCGCATTAATTATAGGAATAATAATAAAACTCCGGTATTAAATAGTTTCTTTTTGTTAAAAACAAAAACAAAACAATAGTATTAATTATAGGAATACAAAAAATGCTATTAATTACATTAATTTTAATTTAGCATTTATTATAGGTTTATAAATAATCCGGTATTAATTATAGACTTAGAAAAATGTTCCGGTAATAATTATAAATTTTTATCTACAATTCATTAATGCTTACTGTCTCTAAAATGGGACGTTGGTCATTAATGGTTTGATATAAAAATCCATTACAAATGATTCTTGTAAAAATGCAATTCAAAATGATTTTAATATAAAATTAATTGCAAATTATTTTGCTATAAAAAAGCATTTTATTAAAACAATTTTAAATTAATTGTTATTATAGCAATGTATTCTAAATGAATTTATTATAACACTTCATTAAAATGGTTTAATATAAAACAAAGTCAAAAGATTTTACTGTAAAATATATTGCAACCAATATTCTCTTGCAAATAGGATTTAAATACTTATTACTTTAAAATTAATTACACATTATTTTACTATACAATTCATTACAAAAGATTTTAACCGTTCAATTCCCTCTCTAAAACTTGGTATTAATTATGAAAATTAAAATAAAATTTCTGTATTAATTGTGAAAACTAAATCAAAATTCCGCTATTAATTATGAAAATTAAAATAAAATTACGGTATTAATTATGAACATTAAAATAAAATTCCTGTATTAATTGTGAAAACTAAAATCAAATTCCTGTAATAAGTATGAAAATTTCAACAAAATTCCTGTATTACTCATGAAAATTAAATAAAAAATACTTTATTAATTAAAATACAATTCCGCTATTAATTAGGAACATTGAAATAAAATTCCTGTATTAATTTTGAAAATTAAAATAAAATTCCGTGTTAAATAACAGTTTAGCAGACTTAATTTTTAGTGGAAGTGTATCTCTGCTCCGACTTCCCGAGATTGACCATGGGATCGATTTTGATTGGTTGAGTTAGCGTGGGAATGATAAACAGAGAAATGTTTTTGAGAGAGTTGAGTCTTAACCGTCAAACAATGTAAACGTGTTCTCTTTCGTGTCTGAAACGG